CTTTCTTGATTTTGTTTTGACCTTTTTCATCCCATAATCAGTATCACAGGGAAATTTGGTTTCCCAGCTGGGGAAATGCCTTTGCTGCTGTCACTGCTATATTTTCCCTTTAATCACTGCCATCCTGATCACTCACGAGAAATGAGTTAGCTTGTTATATAAAAATACATATTTCAGACAAAAAGAAATAATGTTTTGAGATATAAAGAAACTATCTTAGTTTTTCACTGTTGTATGATGTTTTATTTTTTCTCTCTCTCCCATCCCCACCCCAAACAAAGGTCCTTTTAGTAAAGCCACAGGTATTTATCTAAGACTGAGGAAAAAAAAATGAAAGAGGCAGAAGAAATTGTCTTATTTTTGGTGTGGGGAGAGATCTTGCTTGTGTGTGTTTGTTTTGTTTAACAGATCAAGCGGAAATGTTAACACTTTTACAATTTTTCTCTCTGTAAATCTTCAAAATCTTGCTTCCTATAAATTGTTGCCCTTGCATTAAATATAAATGGGTTTAAAGCATTACTAGTTAGGCCTGCACGTACACAGACAGGTAATTACTTTCTCTCTACACTGTAGGAATGATTGCAATTAGTAGGATGGCAGTGCTGTATCCTCAAGTTATTGTCGACCATCCATTTTTCTTTCTTATCAGAAACAGGAGAACAGGTAAGTCCATTATGAGAACAGAACTTTATTTATTAGGGCACAGTGAAATTTTTTTTACTTAATTGAGAACTTTTTGTTTGTTTTTTTGCAGTATATAATCAGAATTTCTAATGTTCAGATGATGTTTTACAAATGAAAATACATTTATATTTTCATGTTTGGAACATTGCTAATTGTATGCCAGGAAAAAAGAAAAATCTCATTCTTTTGCTTAACCCCTGTTTTTGTTCACCCCTTCTTTTGTTCACTTCCAACCCAATACAGGTACAATCTTATTCATGGGACGAGTCATGCATCCTGAAACAATGAACACAAATGGACATGATTTTGAGGAACTTTAAATAATTTCATTTAAATAACATGGAAAAGAAAACAGTAACTAAGCACATTATGTTTGCAACTCCTATATATTTAAGATTTGTGTTTTACAGTGTATCTTAAGATAATATTTAAAATAGCTCTGGATAAAAACAACAATGTATGTAAATTATAAGTCAGCCTTATCAAGGAATGTTATCAGTATTATTAAGGTTGTGGTCCTGTTATGTCATTGTGTTTGTTGTGCTGGTATTTAAAATAAAAGTACATACTGAACATGTGAACAGCTTTGTTTTTAGTTTCAGAAATGTAATATAAAGAAAGATACCTCTAGGGGAAGTTTGGGAATGGTGGTGTTTCTGGACATCTTAGATCATTCATGATCTTTCAGAGTAAAAGCAACAAAGGAAATTAGCTTTATATGCTTATACATAACAAGCAATAACAGCATAGCTAGTGAGAAGACAGGTTCTCCACAAATATTCCAATTTTTCAGTTCTCTGAAGATTTGTAGTGTGATGGAAAGAATGCAAGCCGACAACATCTTCCCTATGACTCCTCTACAAAATCAGTCAGAAAAATAATTAGGGCTATGTAAACCTACAGACAATAGCCATAACCTATCAGTGTATCTTTCAAAAATCTACTTGGTTTCATTTGCCTGCTGTAGTTTGTAAGCCTGTTGTATCACTGTATTTTGCTGCTTCAAGTAAAATTAGAACTACAAGTTCCTGAATGAGCCACATGAGAAAGCTAATCATGAAATTATGTCCTCAGATATGTCACAAGGAATGAACTAGAATCAGACAGTACTTGAAAACCATGCCAGTACAGATTTTAGAAACAGAAAGGTCTCAGGCTGAACATTGTCCACACAGGTGTTCTTATTTGCTCCTTTTTTAAAAAATAATAATAATAATTTTTTCAATTTAAAATTTTTATTTAAAAAATTTAAATATTTTTCATGTAAAATTTAAAAAAAAATACAATTTGAACTTGAATGTCAGTAATTGAGGTGTCACTCTCCTACTTCTCCCATTGGTTACCAGTGTGATTCCAGGTGCATTTGCCTTTGAGACCTTGGAAGAGTTACAAGCAGCCCTTGCAGGAATGTATTGGTTTTATTCTCTAGTACAAAAGGTAATCCATCCCAATGGATGCAGGATCAATTTATAGCATCTAGTAAATTACATTGTTATCCTTTGGCTGAAATAATGATATTTGGGAGGAAGAAAAAAACAATGATTTCATCACATGTCATGAATGAAACAGGCGTCTTTAATGCCAGATGTTTTTATTCTGAGATTATCAGTCTCAGGAAAAGTTTGAAGTGATTTCAACATATAACAGAAACAGTTTGCATATTACTTTCTTATGCCTTAGGTATTTTGCTATGATTTTGGGCTGTTAAAATTGAGTCGATTCAACTCATGGTCCTCCTTGGGTTCCGAGGCAGTATCCCTATGGAAGTAGATTGCTCAAATCTTCTTTCTAAGGAGGCTGGTGGGTTTGAACCACCAGCCTTATTGTTAACAGTCAAATGCCTTAGGCACTACGCCACCAGAGCTCCCAATTGATATTATTATTAACCCTAATCAGTTCAGGAGAGCAATGGATTAGAGAAACAGATCTGAAAGACCTACTGAATTCTATGTCTGAGGAAAAACCTGAAAATCTGCATTTTTTTTTAAACTTCCTTTGGTAATTCTGTTATACAATAAATCGTGAACACTTTGGAAGTAAAAGATATATGTGGAAAATTTTTATGCTGGTTGTTTAGATATGATAATTCATACAAAATTAGGTCAGTCATGGAATGTTCTAAATCACTGCTTTTCAAACTTTGATAAGCATTCAAATCACTTGGGGACCTTGATAAAAATACAGATTTTTACTCAATAGGTCTGCGATAAGGAGCTCTGGTGGTGTAATGGATAAGGTATTTGGCTGCTAACCAGAAGCTTGGTGGTTCAAACCCACCAGCTGCTCCATGGGAGGAAGATAAGGCCATCTACTCCTGAAAGATTTATAGCCTTGGAAACCCAGTGGGGTTCATTTTGTGTTGGAATGACTCAATGGCAGTGGGTTTGGTTTGGTGCTTTTTCAGGTCTTTTATGTGGCTTTGAGAGTCTGTATTTCTTACAAGTGCTCAAGTGATACTGTTGCTGTTTGTCTGTAGATTCACATTGAGTAGCAAAACTCTACTAATGTAAACTTTACACATTTGAGATTTTAAAATATTTTTTAAATTGGAGAAACTGTAATTTCCATACAACTTGGAGAGATATGGATTTTCTACATTAAAAATGTAATGCACTTATAGTAAAACAGAAAAAAAAGTAATGTTTTCACATAAAGTTTTTTTTTTCCTGTTACATACTATGAGAAAATTGCAGGATTTCTCTGCATATTTAGAACACTTGAAATATATTCTCTAAAAACATAGAGACATTTATAGGTAATATCCACAAAACAATTTACAAAAGCCCAAGCCCATAATACTTAACATTGAGTTTTTTACAGCATATATTTTCAGAAGATTTACAGGTTACTCACAAAGCTAAAGTTGTTATAGAACATTGCATTTGTTTTCATTTATAATGTATACAAAACAGGCTAGCTGGTGTTGATGCAATATTGATATTCTGAGTTTGTGACATTCTTCGGTATCATTCACAAATATTTTGTATGTTAAGCATTACATGTATTGCTGTATCTGTATGTTCATCATTAAACGAAATGAGTTACATGTAAGGAAGAATAAATCTCATTAGACAATCATGTAGATTTTATAAAGCACAAATTGCAGTTTGTATTAACTAAAAAAAAAAAAAACCTCACTGCCATCAAGTTGATTCAACTCATAGCAACCCCTCCTTGAGTTTCTGAGGCGGTATATCTATGGAAGTAGATTACCCAGTCTTCCTTCTGAGGAGTGACTGGTGGCTTTGAACTGCCAGCCTTCTGGTTAGCAGTCAAATACCTTAGGCACTACGTCACCAGTTGTTGTTGTTATATGCCTTCAAGTCAGACCCAACTCATAGCGAGCCCTCCTTGGGTTTCCGGGGCAGTATCACTACGGAAGTAGATTGCCCAACCTTCCTTCCAAGGAGTGGCTGGTGGGTTTGAACCGCCAGCCTTCTGGTTAGCAGTCAAGTGCCTTAGTCACTATGCTACCAGAGCATTAGGTGGTATAAGATGAAACTCTCCTGTTCAGAATGTTGTCCTTGAAGTATTTCAATATAATTTCAATATAATTTAGATGTCTCTTCAATGAAAATGGATTCTATACCATTATTAGCATGTTTGTGCAGTGCTTAACAATAGAATACATGATAGTACCAAGTTTTACCTATTGTTGACTTTGTTTATAATCTCTTCAATATTTTCCTTTTCTTTGAAAAAATAACATTGTAGTTCAGTTCCATTTCTCTTAAAATGCATAAATAACTATAGTCCTCTTTAGACCTATTTTTCCCTTGAAGAAATCATTAATTACCACATATTTTTTAAATTTTAAGTCTTGATTTTGCTTTTTTGTGTATATAATAGTCTGATCTGGATAACTGGTCAGAATAATTATAAGAGAATATAATCTTAAGTCTTGACCTCACCATCATAACCAAATAATTATTAGAATCTGTCCTAAAAAGAAATGTTTATATGAACACCAGAATTGTTATTGTTGGATGCTGTTGAGTCAATTTCATTCATAGCAACCCATCTTACAGAGTCTAATTGCCCTATAGGGTTTCCTAGGCTGTTATCTTTATGAGAATCTACTCCAGGTCTCTCCCCTACAGAGCTGCTGGGCAGATTCAAACCACCAACCTTTCCTTTAAGTTAGGTTTTATTGAAATAATGAAAAGAGAAAAAGTGATAAAAGATATATTCTTTCTAAATCCACTGACCATAAAGTTCATATTTCATCCCCATTAAATGTATGCAACACAAATGCAATACACTGCTGTGGAGTCAGATCCAATTCATAGCGACCTTTCCTTGGGTTTCTAAGGCGGTATCCCTACGGAAGTAGATTGCCCAACCTTCCTTCCGAGGAGCGGTTGGTGGTTTAAACCACCAGCCTTCTGGTTAGCAGTCAAATGCCTTAGGCACTATGCCACCAAAGTTAAGTGTATACGTTATATATAATTCACTGCTTTCAATATAATCAGTTTCTTCAATTTATAATGACAGATGTCTTACTTCTCTGAAAAACTGTCTTTTATTTAAACCTGGCCAAAGGCAACTTGAGATGCTTCATTGTAAGATAAAGATCTTTGTTGCAATCTTGAGAAAATACGATGCAGTGACTATTTTTAATACAAAAATTGTTACTGAAAAAATCCTTAACATATTCTCGCAGAGCCTCACCATAACAGTATTGCTGCATTACATACACAGGTTCCCTCAGAAATCCAAGCAGCAGTAAGACTGCTGCGAATGAAGGCTTCACCTAGGGACATCAACCACTCCATAGGTGCTGCATTCATCCAGTATGATTGAGCAATACACACAAGACACAGACACAGTGTACAAACACATAGCAGTGGTGACCCCTGCACAGAGATATACCCAGGCCTTTACTGGTAAAACCCTGCTTAAAACTGATACCTTCAGCCATTAGGAAGGGCCTCTGGCACAGCTCTCAGCACAGTTTGGGCATCTGCCACCGTCAAAGGTAGGCCGATAGAGGCTCACACTGCTAATTGCTCTGCTCGGGTGTACTACTGCATGGGCCTGGACTGTGGCTGCTTCCCCTGGTCTGTGGCTGTGTCTCCCTTACTGTTTGCCCAGCTCCTTTGGCGGCCTCCTGCCTAGAGGTGCCCAGCTTCTCTTTGAGGGCCAACCTTGCTCACTGACGCTGCCCTGACTACTGTCCCGACTATTCTCTCTACCACTGAGCACCTTCTAGGCCTCTGCTGAGAATTCTACAGTCACTTGAGTCGATGTTTCCCTGCATGTAATGTGTCATTTGTATCTGGTTGCTTTTAAGATTTTTTTCTTTTCTTTGGTTTTCAGTACTTTGATTATTATGTATTTTGGTGCAGTTTTCTTTGAGTTTATCCTCAAAAATAAAAGCTTGGATCTTTATGTTTTTCACAAAATTTGGGAAGTTTTTAGCCATTTTTTCAAAATAATATTCTGCTTCAATATCTTACTTCTCTCCTTGTAGGACTCCAGTAATACATATGTTAGACCTTTTGATATTCCCACAGATTGCTGAAGCATTGTTCATATTCTATTAATTTATGTTAAAGTTCACTCCTGCTTTCATTACCAT